TGTATGAAAAGAATTTTTGTGGTCATTGTTGGTTGGAGAAGTCCAACTGTTTCCCAAATAATCTATTATTTCCATAATGAGTCATAAATGCCATCAAGATGTATAAATGAAAGAAATCACTGAACCACATAAAATGAGAAGTGTGTATTTGATTTTTACCATATCTGGATAAAAAGGAAAAGAACTAACCTATGTGTATACCATAGTATCAACCTAATTCCCCTGCTCTCAAGACTGCCTCTGATAAATGTGGGGGTATTTCCAAGGAATTGGAAACTGTTTTGTTTTTTTGACTTGTGGCTTTTATTTACATCTATTGGTTTATTGATAGATTAATGTTGGCTCTGCGATGTTCAACCAGTTTTATGTAGAGAAAAACAACAGTTGCAAGTTAAGATGTGAAGAAATAATCAGAAAAAACTGAGTGTCACTTGAGGTCTGATGAAGGAGGCAGAAACTATTTAACGGAAAGAAATTAATAGAGGAAAATATTGCACAGGGATTCCAAGGTGTCTCTACATTAAACAAGAGGAAGTGAAGTCTCCTAAAGTCGGGGACTTAATCTGCTAGGAAGTTATTATCGCCTTTAAAGTCCTAGGGACAAAGGTGGAAGTTTGTTCTCAGAACTCATAATTCCAGAGAGGAAATGCTGAGCTCAGGACTGGTCCTTTGAGGAATGAGAACAGCTTGGCTTGGGATGGTTTCTTTGGAAGGTTATGAAGAATCTGATATTATGGTGTATAAAAAAGTCTGGAAGTGAGTCTTAAAGACAAGAGTGATAGTGTATAACCACCTAGGTGATGCTGTTAGGGGCAAGAAATGAATGCGAAAGACAAGCTCTGGAATCCAGTGACTTAGTGTTAGAACCTATGAAAAGGCCCATGGTAAAAGAGACATGTAGATTGCAGAATCCCAGGCTTAGCATTGCAGCCCCCAGAGTGCAGAATTTTGTGAATATACGGTGGAGAGACGTTGGTGGAAAACACAGCACCAAAGATGGCTAAATAAGTAAAGTGCTTGCTGAGCGTACAAGAAGACCTGAGTCTAGATCTCCCCAACTGGCAACAAAAAGCCAAGACCCAAACCCTCTTTCCCAGTGCCAGAGGAGCAGACACAGAAGATCCCTAGACCTCTCTAGTCAGGATGCTTAGCTTTTAGATGAGTTCCAGTTTAGTGAGAGGTCCTGTCTGAATAAAAAATAAGTATTAAAGAAGATATCCAATACTGACCCCTGCATCCGCATGCACATATACTCACCCTAAATACAACACACACAAATACATAAAAGCATCGTGACAATTAAATCAAAGCAAGCAATGACTAGAACAATCATTTTCTAGCTTAAATATGCAACATTATCAATATATGCTAAAGTCTTGAAAAATAATTAATGTACTTTTATGACTTTTTACCTATTATACAGGAATTTGAGTATGTTATGCTGTGTTGTTATAGTGATCATTGAAACATCCAATCTGGGATCTGTATGGTACCCTTTTAAGTACTTCTGTATTAGTAGTGACAAAATAGGAAGGAACCTGTGTGTTTTTCTAGAACTTTTATTTTAAGGGGAAAAGATGATAGGCATGTCAGGGGAAAATAAACTGAATTAAGGAGACAGAATGGTGTGGAGGTTGTTCTCGAAGAGGTGGTCCTCAAAGAGCACAATGATAAAGTGAAATCTGAGCAAACACCCACAGGAAATATGAGGGGGAAAACAAAATAATGATTATTTTAGTTAGAAGAACTGTATTTGGTAGAACATGAGATTTAACCTTCTCAGAGTGGGCTAGTAGCTTGTTTGTAAGCACTTGCATAAATCTTTTTCAGAATCCTGGGAATCTAAAAAACTAATACCAACGTTCAAGCATCCTATAAATAATTGTTCATTTCCTCTACTTAGGAGAGGTTAGGCTTCCTTATGTAGGTTAGACTTGCTGATGGTAGGGACAATTAGTTAGTGCATACACTATCCAACCTGTTCTACAAAGGACTGATTCTGTCACAGAATTTTACTAGTCTCAAACTTTTGAACCAATTTAAAATTCCAAGCTCTTCACATAATTACTTCATTGTTAACACAACAATCTTTGTTTTTTAGTTAAGAGTTAATGAACTCTGATAATTGGCAAAGTCTTTAAAACTAAAAGTGGGATTGAACCTCACCAATACTTCATGTGAAACAATGAAACTATTGTTGGCATTAGAACTGTGTTCCCTTTACTTCAGATGTTTTCACTAACATGTAAACATATATTTCAATATGTAACGGTGTCAAAAATCTTAATATATTAGTTATAGCTAATTTTCAACCATATTCTCAATGTGAGTTTATCTGTAAAAGAAAACTAAAATTTTTATAAAGCCAGTAATGGTCTCATGCTAGATTTAAGAAAATCAGTCATTCTAGTCTTGGGGGCTGGGAGTTTTTTATGAAATGTAAAATATTTTTCGTGTGCCTAGTAATAATTTCCATCAGGAAAACTAGAACTTGTTAAGACTGGACATTTAGAAGGCAGAAAGTCATATTCCCTAAATACAGTTTTTAGTGAAAAGGGTGTCCTGAGGACTTCGTTGTGCCTACTGGGAGACAAGAAGGCAGTCTGGCAGAAAAAAAAACTCCCATGTCTGCAAGGTTTGCAGAGCACTTAACCTCTGTGCCTAGGTTCCTCCAGCTGTCAAGTTGGGATAATAGTAATTGCCACTCTCCGTGTGATAGGAACATGAGCTTTGACATCTCTGGCTGAAGATGCCACAGCGACACAAATTATTATTATTAGAACATAATGCATGTATTCACATAAAACACCAGCACAATGCTCTTTTACTCATTATATCATGTCTATAAGTACTGTTGTCCCATGTTCCTGTTTCGTTTTAGATGAGAGAACATGATCACAGCAATCCACTCTGAACTGTCTATGTATGTGAGGACATAGTTTAGATGTTCCACATCACCCTTTTGAGATATCCTCAACCTGCTAATTTCTTATGGTCTATGCAGCAAATTGCACAATAGCCCCTGAATTAAGCCTTTGGCACCTTTTAAAATGTTAGGGAAATTACTTTTCCTGGAATCTGGAACCCTCAGAGAAAGACTGGGGGGAGGAGGGGATGAAACTGGCTAACGATATTAAAATTTTGGTTGTTTAACATTTAACTGAATCGCAACAATGTGCTAAAGTGCTATCTAAACAGATAATTAGCTAGTAGTTACAGCAGTGGGCTCTGTCTAAATTTAGCAATGAATTTAGATTTGGGAAATGTGAAAACAGGGAAAGAGATGTTCTCAAGGGAAACAGTGGTGTCAGCACAGCTGAGGAATGTCACAATAGCTACATTTTGTCAATTATGAGCATCATCAGGGGATCTCCCCAGCAATGCAGGGCAAGGTTTATTCATAAGTGAACCTTGAGGATAAGTGATAGAGAGTAATGACTACAGGAAGATGTGGGCAGGCAGACGGAAGGAGAAAGAAGGGGAAGGGGTGGTGGCAATGAATAGACGTTGTCCTAGTGCCAGGAGACAGGTGAGGAGGAAGATGAGCAAGAGAGAGACTGAGAGGCTGACTGAGTAGGAGGCTGTGTGGACTTGGAGGTGAGTAAAACATCAAAAATCAGTGTTTTAAGATCTGGTGATTCAAAGTCTGAGCACAGCATGCTCTTGGACACAAGGCAAGCTTTAGTTTAACTGCCACAGGCTCATTTCTGGATGGCTTATCTTATTATTAGAGAGAATCTGTAGCTATCTGATGCAGACTGTAGCATCTAGGTAAAATTAATGGTGTCAAGCCTTAGGACGGTGTCCTCTGCTTCCACTGCCCCCGCAGACAGCCCGAACCATCCATCCTTCCTCCTACAGAGAGCTACAGTGGCAGGGGCTTCAAGGTCAAGTCACTCTGACTGTGTGTTGAAAAGATGAGGGCAGGGAGACAAACATTGGGTGTTGAGGGAGGGCTATGGTGAATCACAGACGCTCCTCGTAAGGGCCAATGTTTAATACTTCCTGAGGTCGCTTTTCTGCGAAGAGCTCAAAGAGAAACAAGCAAGAAAATAAAATTACACGCGCGAACATGCAAACAATCAAAGGAAAAAAAAAAACACGACCACACTCGAAGCCTTCGGATGGGAGAAATCCATGGCCTCCTGTTGCCGGTCGCCTAGCACAGAAAGTGGACGACCCGGCGGTCCAAGAGAAGCAAGAGCTAGAGAGCAAACCTTCCCGGGGCCCCTTAGTGCACTCCACCAGCTCCGCTGACCCTTCCACCAAACCGCCCTCCCAGAGAAGGGAGCAGGCTAAACGCCTGGGCTAACGCAGGCCCGGGACAGCGGAGAGCCGGGGTGCCGGGAGAGGTGGAGGAGTTCAGAGTGTCTCCTTTCAGTCCCCGTGCCTGGCTGGAGAGGGGGGAACGCTGGTCCAGCGGGCGGCATCCAGCTTCACGAACAGGCATCTCCCGCTCTGCCCCTGGAGAGCGGGCATCCGAATGAATCCCGCCTTCCCCGCACCACCCCCTGTCGTCCCTGGTCCCGCTGGGGAACCGAACCACTCGGGAGGAAAGAGAGCCAGGACTGGGAGTCCCACAGCCCTCCGCCTGGGTGAGCCTCGGTGTGCCCCGGCGGCCCCGGCCCCGCGAGGGGCGGAGTGGGCGAGACCATCTCAAGCCCTGCGAAGGGGGGAGACGAGGCGGGTCCGAGGGGCGGGGCCGCCTACCCTGGTCCAGATAGCTCTGCCTCGGGAGAAGCCTGGTTTTCCAAGTGGATGAAGTTTTTTTTTTTTCTTTTTTCTTTTTTTTTTTTCCTTCAAAGGGGAGGAGCGTGTGGGGAGGACGGGTGGGAGGGGACTCCGCGGTCGGCTGGGCGTCCCGGCAGCCCGGCGGCGGGGAGGGCGGGCAGGTCCCGGCGGTGAGGGTCGGCGGCTCCCCCCTCCCGCAGGGCGGGGTGGTGCGTTCCGAGTTCCCAGGAGTTCGCGGCGGGCGGGGACCGAGGGGAGGGGAGTGGCGGCGGCGGCGGCGGGCGGGCGGCTCCCGCTTCAGCCTCGGCAGTGGCGTCGGCGACGGAGTCGAGGCAGCCGCGAGCGCTCGGCCGAGTGGCGGCGGGCGGCGACGGCGCAGGAGCCGGGGGTTGAGGACACGCGCGCTGGCCCTTCCGCGCCGCGGCCGCCGCCGCCGCCGCCACCCAGAGCCTGAGGCGCCGGGGCGCGGGCGAGCGGGTGGGCCGGGGCAGGGCGGGCATGGCGCGGACCCCGGGCCCGGCCCCGTTGTGTCCTGGAGGCGGCAAAGCACAACTTTCCTCGGCTTCTCCTCCCGCGGCCGGGCTGTTGCTGCTGCTGCCGGCCCCGACGCCGCCGCCGCTGCTGCTGCTGCTCATTCCCCTGCTGCTCTTCTCCCGGCTCTGTGGTAGGTGAAGCGGGTGGGCGCGGGGCAGAGGGAGTCGCGGCGGGGCGGCCACGGGCCTCTCGTCCGGGCGGCTAGGCGAGGCGGTTGTGCCGGGCGGTTGGCTGCGCGAGCGGCCGCCGCGGACTTTGCCTGGAAACTTTTCGCCGCGCCCCGGGCGAGGCCCGGGAAGGGCAGGGAGAGCGAACGAGGCGCCGGCCGCTGGCTTCCCGCCCCCGAGGCCGCGCGGGTCGTCGCGCTTGGGCCCCCCCACCCCGGGCCGGCGGTGGAGCTCCGTGTGCGGAGCCACGCGCGCCCCGGGAACCGTTACTTCCGAGCTGGTGCGCCGAGGAAGCGGAGAGCGCGGACTTGAGGGCTGAGGTTAGGATGCCGGGATGCACGTTGCCGCCTCCTCCTTTCTCCCCGATGAAACTTGAGCCGCGAGTCCGGAAACCCTTAGGACACTAGCCCTGAGCACTGAAGCCTTCGGGTCCACGCCTCCTGGCCTCCGGGAGAAGGCACCATCTTAAAACCCACCCTGCGGCAGCATCCCCCTCCAGCCACATTTGTGCCCTGGCAACCTTTGGATCTTTGGGTTGAGCCCAGATGCTGTCCACACACTGCCTTGCAGTTGTTGGACGTCCTTCACGCTGGCCCTGCTTAGTTTAGAGAACCTCGTTCTCGGGGACCCAAGATTTACCTTGTATTGCTTCTGCTGTCCCCTGGCTGTTGAAACAGGGAGCCCCGGGCTTTTTGCGTGTGTCTTTTTTCACTCCGCGTTTAGGAGCAAATCCCTTTGTAAGTTCTGCTCCCGGGATCTGAGACTAGTTTAGAGACCTACTTTTAAATGATGATGAAGAAAATGATAAATTCACTTTTCATGCAAGAGAAGTAGATGCGATAATCAGTGAATGGCACTGGTTTGGTAAAATACAACTACCAGTGTTAGGAGATTAAATGTCTGGATAATATCAGAATGCTGCAAGATGTTCATTTGAGGATTGCTGATGGGAATGGTGGAGGAATAAAAGATTGCTCAGACACTGATTCTCAGTGCATCATTAAATCTTAAAGCTGATGTTCTGCCAGTATTTATTAAAAATGAGAGACACGTACAAATTTCTTTAGATACATTCAAGTACCTGGATTGTAATGCAGAAGAAAGAAAATCGTGTTATTGGTAGGTGAGTTAGGGTAGTTGGTTCTGGGGGAGACGAAATACTGTTGAGATTGAGTGCCACTTACAGACTTGAGAATTTCAATACATTTCCAGTGCTCTAAGGCAAGTCTGACCTCCATGGAGTGCAGTGTGGTAACTGGCATGCTGTATGTTGCTCTTATGAGCCATTAAGGAGGATTGTAGATGGTGCTCATGATTGTGGGTCCAGGATACTACAAGTGGGGGTTGATAGTATTGAAGCAGTATTTGTAGGTCCAGAGGGCTTTTTGTCTAGACAGATGGGAGGCTGAAGCTATGTATAAGCTGATACCCAAAATAGTTTACACTGGAAATTTTATTGTGACAGTGAGTTGATTAGTTTTGGGAAGAAACATTAGTTTTTGCATAGAAGGAAGTAAGTTTTAAGGAAAACATATAGTGTTCTAATGGAGAAGGATGATCAATTATTTTAGAGCCCCATAAACTAAGAAATGTACTGTGGTTAGAGGAGGTGTAAATTGGAGTTTGTAGAGTCAGCTCTGCTTCCTGTTTGTAGACATAAACAGTAGTTATGTTAATATGTGCTGCTCATTTAAAGGGCTGCCTTTTAGGGTTTCTGTTAAAATACCCTAATTTGTGAGTCCTTCTGACAGTTAAAAAAAATCAGCCTCTGTTTTAGAATGCAGGCTTTGAATGGAGCACAGCTATCTTGACTTAGAACTTTTCTTCATGTAAGTGCCCCCCCAAACCTGTTGATCTATGAATCACAGTAATATTAACATTTCATAGTACTAGCAAGATTTGGCTCATACTTACTCTTGATTGAGTTGACCAAGTTTTAGAGTTGAAAAATTTTTAAACTTTAAAAATATGATGGGTGATCCTACCTGATTGTTAATCAGAGTGCTCTGCTTGTTTTATCTGCAGTCTTGTTTTTCTTTTTATAAATCGGTTTTGATAAGTTGTTTACATTTAGTGTTGCATAAGGTTAACATATTAAGTTATGTGTTATGTTAAGAATATTCCTCTGGTAGACCTTATATTTTTAAAAATATATATATTATGTATATCAGAGTTGCTATGTGTTTAGGGGACTGTATACTATCTTATTTGAATCTGAAGAACTAAACTTTTTCTCTCCTGGGGTGGGGAGCCAGGGTCTCACTCTGTGGTTGAGATTGGACTCAAATTCCTGATCCGCCTGTTTTACCTTCCTGAATTCTGAGATTATAAGTACACAGTATGAAAACCCTTTTTTGATTTGAGAACTACATTTTTAAAATGAGAGCTCCAGAGGTGGAGAAATTGCCAGTTTTTTTAAAGTCTAAGACGTTTCTAGTTATAAGGTCCAAGGGACCAAGTTTATGTTTTCAATTCTGAAATTGCATATTCCTTTGTGATGATAATTACCAGTTGATTAATTAGCATATTTCCTGTGAGGTTGAGAATATTGTGTTAGCAGGAACCTGGCATTGAAGAATTAGAAGATGGAAATTTTGACCATTCTAGGGTCCCATTTGTCTTTGGGACTCAGCCACAATGCCTCTGCTTTTGTGCCAAGACTTTATCTTATGATAAATGTTTAGAGGATGGTAGAAAACAAGCTGTCATATAACACAAGTCTTTAAAAATAGTTTGAATATTTTAGGTACTTTGTAAAAACTTGGGAACACAGGCTTGGCAGTGTCTTACCCTCACCATGCTTGCAGTATTCTCATGAACAGAAAGGAAGTAGATGATTTCTGGACAGTTTGGTGTTTCTATAGAAATGTGTGTGGTATCCTGTAAGTTTCTTGGGATAGGAAAACATAACTCCTCAGGAAAAAATTCACTTTGTTGTTTTGTGTATGTGTGAATGGATGTATATTTATAGCTTGGAATCCAGGAAATTGCATATTCTAAGCAAATACATTTACCACTGAACTTTAAAAATCCTTACTTTAAAAATAACTTAAAAATCAATTGAGTCAGATCTTCTTGAGATTAGATAGTTTAATGATATAAGATGTCTGTTCTTTTTTTCTCACTCTCTCACTGCAATTTATGGTTTAATCACTAAAAAGTCAGTCTGATTCTCAATGAAGACTGACACTTAACTAAACGTGAGTCACTGACAGAGTACTTATATTACTAATAAGGTTCTTAGGATAGTAAAAGAAAGAATAAGCTAAAACACTTAGAGTACATGGGTGTGATAGCTCCTGCATGCTAGCTTTTACTACTTTGTACACCCTAGCATAGGTGACTTTTAATCCTAAATAGTTGAGTTTTCTAGTTAATTGACACTTTCATGTTCATGACTATATAACATAATCAGTAGTCCAGAAATATTAAAATATAGCCAAGTTAAGTGTGTATTAGTGTGGAGACTACTTGAATCTTCCCTTAGCAATGTTGAATTATTAAGATTTGGGAGTTTCCCATAGGGTCACTTAGAAAATTAGTGATTATATTGAAAATGTGGGGCTGGAGAACAGAAGGAAGACAGAATTTGACTCTACTTTTCTATCCATACCATAAGTTAGGGTCTGTGAGTCTATATTGTAAACATGAATTATTGGAATGTCGGCAAAAGTTAGAAGCAAATAAAATAAAAGTTTGTCTCTATAGCATCAGAAAGAGGCATAGCTGTAGAGTTGTATTAATGGACTTGTATAATGTATATTTATTGGTATGCCTTATGTCAGCCTTGTTTATGTTAGGAGAATCTCATATTTGAAATGCTTGTGATCAGGTATGTTTTAGATTTAAGATAAGAAAATTAGGTTTTATCTTGTGTGTATGATTTGCTTCCTTGTCTTTATGAATACCATGTGTGTCTTCATGGAGACCAGAAGAGGTCGTCAGACACCCTGCCAACTGGAGATAAAGATTGTTGTGCATTTTCTGTGGGTGCTGGGGACTGACTGATCTTGAATCCCCTACAAGAGCATCAGATGTTCTCAACTACCGAGCCATCTTTCTGGCCTCTTGAGAGTTGAGTGTTGGTTTATGCATATATAGGTAATGTGGCTAGATATCATCGTGATATCATTGAGATTCTAAAAGTGAAATATTCTCCAGTTTCATATATTCCTTATACTCTAGCTTAAGGTAATTTTATATAATGTGCTCGGTAACTTGAGGCATTGTGTGCAAAGAATATTTTTTGAAGCATTTTGAATTGTAGCTTTTTGGTTAATGGATAAGGTTAACTTGTTCACATTTACACACACACACACACACACACACATACATATACACAAAAGCACGGACACTTACAAATTCTGATATTCACCTTGCATCTGTATAGTTAGAGAAATAAAACTTTTCAGTTATTACTAGTTATTAAAAACTAATTGAAGAGAAGTTAGCTATTATAGTCTTATTTAAAAACACAGTATTTGAGCCAGGCGTTGTGGCGGACGCCTTTAATCCCAGCACTCGGGAGGCAGAGGCAGGTGGATCTCTGTGAGTTTGAGGCCAGCCTCGTGTACAGAGCAACCTCCAAAACAATACAGAGAAACTCTGTCTCAAAAAAAACCAAAAAAAAATTAAGTTAAAAACACAGTATTTGACATACTGTAATTTATCTATTAAAAGTAGTAAGTGTATTTCTATAGATTGTTGTATTAACTGTTAATGTCTTTCATAAACATTGACAGGGCTATATAATTTTCAAAAGAAAAGATATTTAATTAATAATTTTTGTTAGTATGTATGTTGGGTAAAATCAAATACTATTATTAAGACAGTATTGAAATTTTAAACATTCTTTATACCAAGCATTCAGAAAACACTTTGCTATTCAAACACTATTAATTTGAACCTGAGGTTCTGAGGTATTTTGAGAGACATCTTCAGATTCTTCTCCCACATAATTTCT